GAAGCTCAGCCTCGTGGGAATCCTCATCTCGGCCTTTTCTGTCCTAACCTTGGCCAGCTCCTCTTGCAAGGCATTTTCTTGAGGGATCGAGTCGTTAACCTCCTTTTACAGCTGCTCAGCTTCTTCCTCAGCCTTCCTCAACACCTCCTTAGTGGATGCCAACTGGACGTCCTTCTCTTTCAAAGCGGTCTCCTGTTTCTTCAGAATCTCCTCCCTCAGCTCATTCTTCAGCCCCTCGCGGCCCTCCTTAAGATGATCCTCGAGTTGGAGAGCTTTCGTTCTGCTGTCGTCCAGATCACTCTGAAGGTGATCATTGTGCAGTATCATCTGGTTCAGCCCAAATAGAGTCTGCAAAATGCTAAGTTAGCAAACAGGACAGTCAACATACCAAACAAACAGTTAAGTGTATACCTACCACGAAGAAAAATCGAGTGTTCGCGCTTGCCAGATGCCTGGTATCAGAAGTTAGAACCAGACCGTCCGCAACATGAGTATAGTCATAAGGAACAACGAGTTCCTCCGATATCACGTGCATGGCACGCTTAGCCAGTGAGGGATACAAGGACGCTTGAGAGGAAAAGAGACGGTGGCATAAAGTTTGGTCCTTTTCTGCCGTTTGGTCGGGACATAGCGTCAAGAGGCGTATCCAAGGGAGTCTCAACAAGGACGTCTTTCAGTCTGGCATCGCTAGGGGTCAATCTCTTGTTCTTGGAAGCAGAAGCCTCTCACGACCGCTTTGAAGATCCTTTTCCTGAGCTTGGCTCAGACAGTTTCAACACTCCCGTGCGGCTAGCACCAATTGCGTCTGGGTGGTTGGAGGAATCGGTACTAAAATTGCCGACTGAGTGGTGGGAGCAGCAGAAGAAGTTTCGGATGCACCAGCACCCATCTTGGGAGGTCGAGCCGATGCAGCATAGCGGCGGGGCCCTGCAAAACGAGTACATAAGTAAAGATTATGAGACGCATGACCAACACAAAGTGAAAGAAACTAACCGTGAAATTATTGAATTATCTCCAAAGCATTATCATTCCCCTTAGGAGGAAGATGAAACTGAACTGCCTATGTTATCTGCTTAACAAGCGGTCTGCAAAGTTCGAGAGAATCAGTATCAAGATTCCAGTCCCTTTTATCACCAATGGCAAATCCAGTAGGCGATTTGACATCTCCAGAATACCATTTACCCTTCGGGCGAGCAAAGATGTACTCTTTAAACCAGGGAGAATCTAACTTAGGCGCTCCATTGACAAAGCCCACGCGAGACTCCCTCCTATAGCACGACCAGCAGTTATCTGATCCACGCATCTTATATAACAAACGAAATACATCGAAAGAGGGCGTTTCACCAATTTTCTCACAAGCGGCTCGGGAAGCGATGGAATGGAAAATGATGCCAGGAGACAGGCGACCTAGCGTACACTCAAGGAAAAGCAGGGTGCGGGTCAGAATGGGGTCGAGCGGGAATGTAAGGCCCATCCGAACGTGCTCCATGTGAATAGGAAGCCACTCGCCAGGACAGGAACCAGACCGCCCAACAGGTGATGGAGCCGCATAGTCCCAGTCAGCGGGAAGATCGTGAGTCTTAAGTTGGCGTAGTACCTGATGGGGCTTATAAACAGCCTCGTTAGGCGGTCCCTGTCGTAGACAGACTCAGGAACTTCTTCTCCTTCCCATATATCTTCGTGTAGCCGCATACGATACGTAGTGTCATCAAGGCACTGAAACGCCTCAACAGGAAGCACGTCGGACACCATCAGGGTGGGCGATTGGTTCTCGTCCTCAGCGGCCTGGCGGTCAACTGAAACCTCTCCACACTATAAGAAGAAAGGGCAACTAAGGGCACAACGCGGGGTGACCACTATCCACCTCAGAATAACTAAAGTCTCCAAGGTTGTCACCAACCGTCGAAGACGACCCCCGCAGCCCAGCAGAAGTACCAACGTCGACCGCGAGATGCTTGTCTACCCCTAAAAGACCATAATCAAGACTGTCTAAGATTTTGATTGGTCATGCTATTGGGATCACATACCAAAGTATAAATTATCTACATCTAATTCTAGGTCAAATGCAACCAAAGGGGAGAGAAAACAAACATACCTGGGGTGATCGGTTTGTCTCCAGTAGAGGGATCGCTTGATCCGCCACCAGTCTTTGAAGAAGAATGAGGAAGGCTGGCACCCACATTGGAGGTTCGAACCTCGTCGGAAGTCGTGACGGAGGCGGCGTCGCTAGAAAGATTCATGTTCTGGCTATCCGAGGGAGTTAGCTTTTCTTCTTTGCTCGTTTTTTGTGCTTGTCTAAGTTTGTCGAGGTAGTTAGCTTGAGTTGAAGGCAAGAGGGGATGATTTTGCAGATAAACAGACGGGGAGAATTTGGTACAACGAGCAATCTTGCCAGAACAGGTAAGAATAAGGAAGATGCAGCGAAGAGGAAGAATGAAGAATGAAGAAGGAGTGGTGGGTATAAATAACCCACCAAAAGAAAAGGGGGGGGGGGGGGGCAGCGACACGAAATTTGAGTGAGCGAGGCAAAACCCTAGTCTAGAAATTAAAAAAATCGGGCAATTGATGCGACGTTGGAGCTGCCGTTGTCAGGGCTCGACATTCGAGCAATGACACGTGTCTAAGCACGCAGCAAGCCACAAGAATCAACGGGAACCGCACGAAGCAGAGAAGTTCATAAAGACCGCATATGCTTCTGAAGAAAGAAAAGGAGAAGTCCAACCTCGAAGTGTAAAACCTCCGTCTCTCAGGCGGCCAGGGGCAGGATGTAGGTCCGACCAAAGTCGTGCTCCAAAACAAACTCTACAAAATCAAGGGCCAGATCGTTAGAGAAGGAGAAGAAGAGTGAGGCAAGGGGATGGTGGGTGGATATTGAGATATGTACGTTTTTTTATGGAATTTGACTATTTGAGTTTTTAATAGATATAAGTGAGTACATCCTATTTTAGTCACTAAATTTCTATCTTATATTTAAATATATTTAGAAAAAGTGTAAAACGGCTCAAAAAGGTTGGACCTCAATCAAACCATTAAGCTTCAAACCACTTGCTTGACCAGCTCAACGACTTAAACTGGTTTGACAACTTTGGTTATATCAATTAAAATTACAATGTTCACCATTGATGAAAACTTATAAGAATTTCGATGTCACCTTGATGTTATATGAAATTCAGCACTTCAGTTAATTTTAAAATTTTAAATATACATCATAAATACATTGTGTTCAAATCACATTCCGACCAACGGATCGGACAACAAGCTAGTTCACAACAAGCCAGTAGACCCACTAGCCTACATTAATGCTGACACAATTCATTTAGTGTTTGCGGCCTAATCAATAAATATAAGTCATAATTATGATTGATTAGGTGTATAAATAATTTGGTGAAACAGAAGTGTAAACACGTGTTTTTAGCTTTAAAGCATATATTTTGACTAAAATTATTAGTAAAAAATGTGATTCAACATAAAAGACTTTTGGTAACCTAAAGTAAAAGAAGGTACAAGTTTTTAAATTTTCAAACGCAATTTGAACTACGTTACCAAACCACCAACCGTTAACTAGCCACTGGCCTCGTTTCTCCCGCTTTATAAAATCCCCACCCTGTCATGCTTTCAGTCCACACACTTCATTATCTACTTACATGGCAACGGGTCGGGTCGGGAGAGTATAGTGCATATTCGTTACCCTACCCAAAATAGTTCGGGTTTTACCCGTACCCATTCTCACATAAGAATCAGGTAGAAAATAAAATTCATGTCCATACTCATTCGAGTTTCGGGCATCCACGATTATCTATTGGTAATAATTTCTATTTATAACTCCAACCATTATATTAACATTCACATGTATACTCACATTACATAAAAGGGAACATACGAAAATAAATCACTAGAATAGAGAAACTTAATTAAAACAACACAATTTCATGAAAAATTATATTTGTATGCTAAATATAAAATATGTTAGAAAAAATAGTGATTATTTCTACATAAAAAACATATGCATACATATACTTGGGCGGGTTCGAATTTGATGGTGAGAAAACCATGTCTACTTATTATCCGCAATATTAGGATTCGAGTTTTATCCGTACCCACTAAACATTTTTTGGATTTGGATTTTACCCTACCGCATTAGACTAGATTAGTGCGGATATCCACAATTACGAATATTTTTGCCACTCTTATACGTACCACTCAAAGGAAGAAGCAAAAAGCTTAATTAGAATTTCTCGTCACTATCGTCGCCGCTACTTCATAGAGAAATATCAGGACTTGAAAATGTGACATTTTTCTGCCATTATTTTAAACAACATGCCAAAATTGAGTTCATGTTGATAACTCAATAGATTTCAAGTATTTCTAAAATTGATCTATTACCGATTATTCCTGTAACGTGCCTATAAATAAAATGTATAGCTAGCCTGCATAATAATTCATTGAATATATCAACTTACCCCTTACGTATGGTTCTCATTCACTAGTAGGCCCAAAAATTTATCAATTAATATTGTATTTTTGCAGGATTCATAATCGGATCCTATTAATGGGAGGACTCGGATTTTCATTTCTAGCTCACAGTAATTTTGACTGACGCTATGAACCAGAACTCTCTCAACTTGGCGACCCCGTCAGCGACGTCCACGCCGCCGGCAGGCAAACCACCGTACCCAATCCCGTCGCCGCCATCCCAAGAAGCAGCACAGTCTACCCCGGGACAAATCCCCGCGCCCATATCTTACAGAAACGTGCTAACAGGTCAGAATCTTCAGCAATCGTCGAAGGGGGGTCAATGGTCCTTCGTCGGCGAACACGATATGGAGCCGGGGACTTTCAATGGGGAGCCGGCGCTAAATCTCTCCGAAACCTTCAAAGAGCGGCTTTGTCAACCCTGGAAGAAAACCCTGGTGGTGCGATTATTGGGGCGATCAGTCTCGTATGCTTACCTTTGTTCTCAGCTCCGTTGGAAGTGGCGGCCGTCGGGAACACTGGATATTATGGATCTGAACAACGAAACTTTCCTTGTCACCTGCAACAATGATCAGGACTACCTAACGGCCCTCACGGGAGGTCCATGGGTGATCCTTGATCACTACCTTCTAGTGCATCCTTGGTCACCAAATTTCCGTACGTCTGACAAGCCCCACAGATCAGTGGTTGCCTGGGTCCAATTTCCAGAACTTCCAGTTCACTTCTACCATCGGGAGGTCCTGTTCGCGATTGGTAACCTAATTGGAAGAACGATTAAACTTGATTATCACACAGAAACTCTACAAAGGGGGAAGTTTGCTCGTATGGCAATCGACCTGGACATGACAAAGCCTCTTCCGACGAGGATCCACCTCGACGGCAAGTGGCAAGGTGTTGTTTACGAAAATCTCCCTCATATCTGTTACGGATGTGGGAAAATCGGCCATGTTGAAGATAGTTGTCCTGCAAGGGAGAAGTCCTCGGAGCTGGCTCTGGTTATCGCCGCCGACGGTTCTGGCAAGTCTGTCGAAGGCAGCTCACCGCCGGAGGCTCCGGCCGGCTACGGCCCTTGGATGCAGGTCACGCGGAGATCTCGGAAATCGACGAAAGCCAAATCGGGTAACCCCCCAATTAGCTCGCCTTCGTCTGGCGCGGATTCTGGGAAAACGGCTCCAAAATCGGGCACAAAGGGAAAGACAGAGTTAGAGATGAAAGGGAAAAAGGAAAGTAAGGAAGTTCAGAGGAAGGAAACACATACCTCACAAAAAGGGAAAGCCATCATGACTGAAGCTTCGGGCCCCAACGGTAAAAAGAAAGGAGTTGTCATCCAGGAATGGAGGGAAGTCGGATCGTCAGAGGCTGGCTCTAGTATGGGCCGCTCCATGGAGGCCCAACCGGCGGACATGGACCAAACCAATAAGCCCACCTCGACCACTATCTCGGCCAAAGCCCTCCAAGGCCCCAACAATACTAAAATCCAGATTATATCGGTCCCTCCTCTCCTAAGCTCCTGCAAGGAAAATCAAAACCCAAATCTGAATAGAAAACTTTCGACTCAACGATCACAAAAGAAGAATCCAGAGAAAATGCTGAGTGCTATCCAGAACAGGGGAATTAGCCTCAAGTCTACGAAGAAACCTCTCCAATTGAACTCGATTGCCAGAGATGTTCTCAAGAAATCGAAAGATGGTAGCTTCCCCATCACCATCAAGGACATCGAAGAGCTCTTTGCTTCTTCCAACACCAAAGTCTCTGCTCCTCAGACTTTAGCTGCTGAAAAGATGAATGAGGTGGTTGTGGAGGAAGATCATCAAGGGAATTCGCTGAAGTCCTCCGTTGATGCCTTCATAAACCATGGAACTCCGGCTGCCATTAGCCAATCAAATCCGACAGCTCTTAATGGAAATCCGGCTTGATTCTCTTGAGCTTGTGGCTCGTCTTTACCTTTTTTCCTCTTATCCTATGTTTTCTATGCCTAACCCTATCAATTTAAAAGTTCTTGCCTGGAATGTCTGTGGTGCAGGTAGTAAAGCCTTTCGAAGAGCAGTCAGGTTTCTTGTTCAAAGTTACAGTCCCCAATTCCTTTTCCTCTTCGAACCTCAAATCAGTGGCGAGAAAGCCAACCGTATCTGCAGCAACTTGGGTTTCGGCGATGTTATCAGAATCGAGGCTGAAGGAAGAAAAGGGGGGATTTGGTTAGCCTGGAAAGCGGATGTCTTTGCTGTGGAACTCGTAGATGCTAGCCAACAACACTTAACTGTCAAAGTTAATGGCGCTGGCTCTGGTGATTTTCTGCTCACAGGAGTATATGGTAGCCCACAATATAGCTTCCATAAGCAACTCTGGGCGAGGATTATTCACTCGAGCAGAGCGATCAACCTGCCTTGGCTCATCACAGGAGACTTCAATGCTTATAGTCTTCCTTCCAAAAAATCTGGATCAATCTCTCCTGCAGCTTTGAAACGTTGCCAACAATTTGCGAATTGGATTGATGCAGCTAACCTTTTTGATTTGGGGTTTTCAGGAGCTTGTTTCACCTGGTACAGAGGGGATTCGCGTCTCACTCGAAAGGCTAGCCGAATTGATAGATCTCTGTGCAATGCCCCTTGGAACGCTGCCTTCCCCAGGACTGTTGTTCAGCACCTCCCTAAGCTTCACTCAGATCATCTCCCAATTTTGACCTCTAGTGACGGAGCTCCTCCTATTTCTTGTAATGCTAAACCCTTCAGATTTGAAGCGGCTTGGCTGTTGCACGATCGTTTTTGTGACTTCTTTGCAGGCAGCTGGAATGAAAACACCAATTTGAAACAAGCTTTGCAGGACATCACTTCTAAACTTCAAGACTGGAGTAAGGAGACTTTTGGCAATATCCACCATCGCAAGAAGAGACTTCTTGCCCGTCTTCAGGGGATACAAGTTAAACTTGCAAACAATTTCAGCCCAGGTCTCCTTAAATTGCAGGCCAAATTGGAATCTGAGCTTGATTCTATCCTTGCTCAAGAGGAGGTGATTTGGTTCCAAAGAGCTAAAGAGAAGTGGGTTTCTCTAGGGGAACAAAACACCGCCTACTTCCACCAACAAGCCACCAGGAGACGTCGTCGTAATAAAATCCTGACCTTGAAAGATGAGAATGGAAATTGGATAGATGATCCTGGGAAGCTTGAGGAGCTGGTTCTAAATTTTTACATACACCTATACGCTCAAGATAGCTCCCAATATCTTGACAAGATGCCCAAGAACTGTTTCCCGAGAATAATCCAGGAAGATCTCCTTCAACTTCTTCGCCCTTTTTCTATTGTTGATTTTCACAAATCGATTTTTGAGATGAAACCTTTCTCTGCTCCTGGACCGGATGGATTCCAAGCGGTTTTTTATCAAAAATTATGGAAATTTGTTGGAAAGAATCTTGCTAACTTTGCCATCTCTTTCTTTGAAACAGGTCATCTACCGGCAGAAACTTTTGAGTCCAACATTGTTCTCATTCCCAAAAACGAGCATCCGGAGTCTCCAACACAGCTTAGACCCATTTGCCTGAACAATGTCAGCCTAAAAGCAATCACGAAGGCTATGGCAAACAGGATGAAACCGATCATGTCCAAGCTCATTGCCCCCACCCAAAGTGGGTTCATCCCTAAAAGACAAACTGTTGACAATATTATTCTCCTCCAGGAAGTCCTCCATTCTCTTCGCTCTAAGAAGGGTAAGAAAGGAGGGATAGTGATAAAGGTTGATCTTGAAAAGGCGTATGACAGGCTGAGATGGGATTTCATCAGAGACACCCTGATCGAAGTCGGTCTCCCAAGCACTTGGATAAGCAGGATTATGACTTGTGTGGAGGAAAACAAGATGAGGATCAACTGGAACGGAAAGCTTACGGATCCTATCACGCCGTCAAGAGGAGTTCGACAGGGAGACCCCTTATCCCCGTATCTTTTTGTTCTCTGTATGGAGCGTCTCGCTCACAGAATTGAGATTGCAGTAGCAGACCGACAATGGAAACCGCTTTCTGTTACATCTCATGGTTTTAAATTGTCTCACCTCTTCTTTGCAGATGACCTCATTCTTTTTGCAGAGGCCGGGAGCAAACAGATTGATATCATTAAACAATGCTTGGAGGACTTCTGCTCCAGCTCTGGTCAGAAAGTCAATCTGAATAAATCAGTCCTCTATGTGTCTCCCAACATCAGAAGGGATATGGCCCAAAATCTCAGCAACCGAGCTAATATTCCTCTTACTGCGGATCTGGGACGATACTTGGGTCTGAATGCTATCCATGGCCGCGTGACCAAAACTCGCTATAAAGAGCTGGTTCTCCGTATTCAAAAGAAGCTGGCTACTTGGAAATCTAACTGCCTCTCTCTTGCCTCTCGGATTACCATGGTGAGATCTGTTGCCTCTTCTATGGCTGTTTATCCTATGTTTTCAGAACTCCTCCCGGCTTCTGTTTGCAATGATTTGGACAGGATCAACAGACAATTTATTTGGGGAGAAGAAGATGGGAAATCGAAATTCCACCCGGTGGCTTGGGAGCTGATGACGACGCCCAAATCTCAAGGAGGTATCGGTATACGCCCTACAAAGCTAGCTAACCAAGCGATGCTAGCTAAAGGTGGTTGGAAGCTCACTACAAGAGAAGACTCCCTCTGGACAAAGCTTCTCTTGGAAAAATATGGAGGAAACAGGGAGGGGATCAACATCTTGCAGAAAAAACCGGGAAGTTCTCTCGCATGGAGAAGCTTTGTTTCTACCGCTAATTTGCTTAAGAAAGGGCTGGCTATTAACGTTAAAAGCGGCAGAAACACTCATTTTTGGCTTGATCCTTGGATCTTGCAGGTACCCCTTATTGAACGTGCTGTCGCTGATGTCCCTGAAGATCAGAAACACAAGACGGTGGCCGACATGTGGGATCCTGAAAGCGGCTGGAGAATGGAGGAATTTCATCATCTGCTTCCAAACCAGATCACAGACAAAATCAGGGCGACTCCTATTGATCCTATAGCTATGGAAGAAGACCGAAGCTTTTGGAGCCTCACGACGAATGGACATTTCTCTGTTCAATCAGCTTACAAGGCCATTCTTCAACAACAGGAACAACAACCAAGCCAAATCTGGAAGCGAATCTGGAAACTTCAGGTGCCAGAACGTGTTAGAGTCTTTGTTTGGATGGCAGCTCATGGAAAAATCACCACGAACAGTGTAAGGAAGCATAGACACCTAGCCCAAGATGATTCTTGTCCGGACTGCCCTGGGGTTCCGGAAACTGTCCTTCACTGTCTCCGGGATTGCCATAGAGTCAAAGTAGTCTGGAACAGGACTGTGGAGCAGCAGAATCAGGCTGAGTTCTATAACATGTCTCACGAAGCCTGGTTCAAAGAGAACCTGAAGGATGACTCCACGGGGAGCTGGACGGGCAATTGGAACAGTTTCTTTAGCTTGATGATCTGGTACATTTGGAAGTGCAGAAACGAGAACATCTTTAGGGGTATCAAACTCTCTATTCCCACGTTCTGTCACTATGTTACTGCCAAAGCTACTGATTGGGCGAAAACCTGGGACTCAGCCAGCAAGACCCTCTCTACCAGCAGCCCTCAACGTAGGGAAGAAGTTTTAGTTGGCTGGTCAAAGCCTCCAGTTGGTTGGCACAAACTCAACACTGACGGAGCTGCTCAGGGTAATCAGGGGATTGTCTCTGCAGGGGGAGCTCTTCGCGATTATGACGGAATGTGGATAGGAGGTTTCATCAGTAAATTAGGCTCAGGTTCAGCTATTTTGGCAGAGCTGTGGGGTATTCTAAAAGGCCTTGAGCTCGCCTGGAAGAAAGGTTCGCGTTTTCTGATCCTTGAGTCGGACTCTCAGCTTGCTCTCCATCTGATTGAAAAAAGAATTGACAATGTTCACCCTCACTCGACGATCTTAGGAGCTATTAGGCGCTTGCTTGCTAAAGAATGGGTGGTTCGTCTGGTTCATACGTACCGTGAAGGGAATAGAGTCGCGGACTGGCTCTCGAAGCACAGTCTCGTCTATCCCTTTGGTACGTTTGAATTGGATGATCCTCCATCAGAACTGAATCGAATTTGCTGTGAAGATATGCTCGGAGTTAGCTTCCCTCGGCAAGTGCCTCAGAGGGATGCCCCTTGACCTCCTCGCGTCGTTGGCTTTCCCTGCTTTGTCTAGCATCTGCTCGTGGTTGGTTTGTTAGGTGACCTTCTCTCGTTTGTGGTAGCCCTGGGACCTTTGTAATCTTGGCAGTTTCTGCCTCCCTCTCATCAAAAAAAAAAAAAAATTAATGGGAGGACTCGATTGATTGGGAAAAAGGCCCTTTTCAGCATCAGTTCTAGGGATGGCAGGCCGGGGCCCAATAGCGGATATTCGTCCGAAGCCCGCTTGATAAGGGTTCAAGTGGGTTGTTGTTTTTGGGCGGTCAGTGGGTGGCAGGTAACCCGGGACCCGTCAACCATGGTTTTCGGACGGTTGTGGTTCGTCCAATATCCGCCACGCGACCCGCCCGACGGGTTATCCGTGTACAAAAACGACGTCGTTTGGAGGACCATATATATACACTTCGCTTTCCCTTCCAGAAATCCTAGCAGCCGCCTCAGATTTCATTCTTCACCAAACGATCCAAAAAACAGAAACCCTAGTTTGCTTCTTTCTCTCTGCCTACTCTCTGGCGATTAGCGATCAGATCGCTAGATAATCACGATCTGGCCAATTTTTCGCCTTTTCACCTCATCAATTCCTCCATTCGACCAAACGCATGGCTGGAAGAGCAACCATCCGACGAAGATTTCGTCGACCGCAGTCCCAAAACGAGTCGTTGGAAGTTCAAATCGCTGATTCTTCGAGAAGAGATAAGTTAATTCTGGGTTTCTTATCGTTTCATTCAAGTATCTTCCCTGATTCCCCGTTCCCCAAA